ACATACCTGGGTGTTGCAAACAATGGGTAGCAGCACTGGCCGGGGGCATTGCTCAGGGCCCCGTGTGATGCCAGGCAAGTGGGGTGAGGGGGCTTTGGCAGGGCAGGCTACATGTGGGGGTAGCAACGACACTGCTCCTGCCTTGGTAGGGCAGGGTGGGGTGGGGAGACCCAAGGTGGGGCTGGCAGCCCACAGAGGGGAGCAGGGGAGTCTCACCTTCACACAATGAGTTGTGTTTTGGGCCCTGGAGGAGCCCTGTGGCAACTGCAGGGGACTAGAGCCCCCATGCCAGCACTCTGGCCATTTATCCCAGGGTCTTGCTCCATCCACTTCAGCTCCATGGAGCTGCTGACAGTGATCCCTGCCACAGGCAGATGCCCTGCCCAGCTCCGCAGCCTGTCAGATAGAGCCCCTCTGCGGCAGGGCAGCAGCACTGGTGACTTGGTGGGGGTGCTGGGGGAGGCACTGTAGGGGAGGTGCGTGTGGTGGACAGGGGAGATGGAAGAGGCAAAATACAAGTTGGCCCAGGGCACCATTTCTCCTAAGGCTGGCTCTGGGAGGCAGGGCCTAGGGAATGAGGGAAGACAGGAAGCTAGGTAAAGGCCAGAAATGAATATAATCTAATCAAATAGTGTATCAAAGCTCACATGCAAAATGTAGTTCAGTTTAGTTCTATTCTTTTCACAGCCAAACCACACACAGTTGAAACATGTCATTATCTGCTTGGGACAAAAGCACACATACCTCATGTGACTGACCTTTATGATTCAATTACTACTCTGGCTTGGCCCTACTGCTGCCATTCGTGCTGTAGGTATGCAAGGGAGAAAGAGGGCAATGTGCTGCCTGACTATCCCTCCAGCATGGAGGTTTTTCAAACTACAGAAAGCCTGTGCCTTTCATCTCCACATCCCATTATCATTCCATGCACCCTATTCTTCACCGGTTTCTCTTCTCTCCTTTCTCATCTCTATTCTGCCTTGATCTTTATTGCCTTTGTTTTTATTTTTACTTTTTTCTCTCTCTCTCACCTGCATTATGTTCTTTCTTCTTTTTATTGTCTGACCTCACATACCTTTCTATAACTATTATCTTTTTCCTTCTATTCTTTCTCTTCAATTCTCTGTCCCTGGTACTTCTTTATATTTTCAGGTCAGAAGCACAAAAGATACCTATGTGGGACATGTGGCTGTGATGCCATGGCTAACAGCCAACTATCTCACTACTAAAGAGAAAAGGAGGGACAGTGTGTGATTTCACAGACAACTGTTTCAGCAGTTAGTGTGTAATGATGGCTGAAAGGCAGGGTAGCTAGTGGGAGCAGCAATATGATAGTGCCTACATGAGATCTGGGGTCTCATTGAGCTAGGTACCACACAAATTCACAGTATAAGACCATCCCTGCCACAAACAGCTTACAGTCTAAATAGATAAGTCTGGTACAGGGTGGAAGAAAGGAAATATAATTATTCCCACCTTATAAATGGCAAGCTGAGGCACAGGGTGACTTAGTGACTTGTCCAGGGTTGTTAAGGAAGTCACTGGCAAAGCATGGAGCTGAATCCAGATCTCCTGAGTTCCAACCCACTGTCTCAATCATGCAACCTTCCTTCTTTTTATCATGTGGGAAGTAGATGGTCCTAGTGCATTGTACAAATTCAGGGAGAGAACAAGGATTAGGGCAGTGGTTCTCAAACTTTTTAGGATCAGGGCACCCCTCCATAACTTTTCTGAATTTAGCAGAAACCTGATTGAGATCCAGTGGCCCAAAGCATCAAACATTTTACCAGAATACAGTTTCACAGTGTATTTAGGACTTCATCCTGGGTCTATTTGTTGTAACAGATTACAGGCATAATACAAGGAAGGAGAAACTAAAAATTACTTGGCAAGAGCCCTGAGACCTGAAATGAGATGGAAAAGCTGTTACCAATTCAAAGGAAGCATTCCTAATCCCAAACGAAGGAGTAACCCAGATTGCCAGAGGCATAGCCAGTTATCTCTGTGTCTTGCTCAGAGCAGAGAGGTGGCAGGGTGGGGGAGGTGTGAAGGGGGTTGTGCTGAGCATTAGAGAATGGTGGTGAGGGGGCTGGGTAGAGTGGCACAGTCTCACCCAAGGGCTGCAGGCTCCCCATCTCATCCTCTACCGCATTAACCCTGTCACAGGTGCTACTGATCTGCATGTAGATCAGGACTACAAAGCTTAATTCAGCTATGGAAGGGTTAACACAGAAGTTGTTGCTGCCAGCGATGGGGAGAGAAGGGAAGCTGCCTCGGGGTCTGCCCTGCCTGTCAGAGCCAACAGCTCCTGGGTAAGCCTATGTTGAGAGCACATCCCCTTGCCTGCCACCCTCACAACTATCAGTGCCCAGGGCATGGGTCCCATTTGCCCAGCCTTCCTTATGCTACTGCAGTATCCGGATGCAGGGACTGCCTTTCACAGCTCCCAGCATGCAAACAAACAAACCCACCCACAACTCAGGACAGGGGCAAGGCTGATGCCTCACTTGATCCACATTGACTTTACAGGGAATTCATTCTGGATCAGAAGTAAACCTATAGCTAAAGGGGAAAGGTAGAGCATATCAAGCTATTTTCTCCCCATATAAGAAAAAATTTAGTCAGGCTGATACCAGTTATGGAACAAGTATTTAGAGCAATGCTTCTCACCCAGATGTCTCTCCAGACTGCCATACCACCCCTGCCAGGTGAAACTGCCCTAACAGTTTACAAGATGAGTTGGACTGGGAAGGGCTGTGGCAGGAAGGGGCAATCCTGCTTGCTTTAGGTTTATCTTGGTCTGGCTCGTCATGCAGCTTCTGGAACAGACACACACCAAGCAGTGGCAACAATGCTGCAGCACCCTTGGAAGAGTCTCATGGCACCCCTGGGTGCAGCACCCTGATTGAGAACCACTGAATTAGGTGAAACTGTTCTGGTTACAGTGTCAATCCTTAAAAGGAAAGCCACAGTATCAGATTCTAGCCAATAGGAAAATGTTATCTATTAAAACAGTTCAATAATTTGATCTGTTGTTGTTGTTATAGCTGGAGATATGGAAAGGAAAAGAAATGGTGAGTGTTTACCACTGACTAAGTCCTGTCCAAACTTTTTAGCAGACACAGGATTTATATCTTTCCTTCTGAGCCACGTAACATGCATGGCTCTAGAGCAGAAGAGCTAAACCTCTGACTCATGAGTCAATCTGGCCCATAAAGCCCTGTCATCCTGGGGCACCCCACAGGTCTAAAATGTGGGAGTGGGGTAGCAGTGAGAATTAAAGCTGCTACTGCTCCCCCACTGACAACTTTTCAAGCTCTGTGGGCCAGACAACCTGGCCCTGCATGCAGAATTGGATCATTGTGTGGAGCTAAGGCAACAGACCCAAACTAGCACATATGGGGCCAGGGCTGGAGCTAGAGCCAGAGCCTGATCTAGCATGCACAGAGCCATGGACAGAGCTAGGGTGGCAGGCCCAATCTTGAGCTCACAGGATTGGGGCCACACACTGGATCATGTCTGTGCACCAATCCCGAGTTGGATTGGACCTCACCACTAATCTGGCCTGTAGCCCAGAAAAGTGGGACACCAGTGCTTTAGAGTTATTAACTGCAGTATACCTGGTCCCACTGAGCAGGCACCTGGCCTAGTTCTAGCAGGAAAACATATTCATGGTCAGTACTAAATGAAGTGGGCTCCCCTCCCTGAAATCTAGCTAGTACACTCCCAGGTAGTATGGGGTTATCTTCTTGTCAAAGAGAGGCTTGTATTCTCCATATCTTGTCTTTAAGACTCCACTTCCAGTGGATTATAAAGCTCTTCAGCGCACACCCAGGGAGTCCCCCCTGGTGGTATCAAGGAAAATTTTATATTCTTTACACTATCAAAGACATCTGTGTCATTATGGCAGAAAGGCTTATACTAAGCAGCTAGTGGATTAGGACTTGGTGCCAGGATATTAAATGATGTAATACTCTTCTTTTTTTTTCCTTGGCTTCTTTCACAGCGGGTGAAGTAAGGAGGGTGCCATAGTCATAGCCAAAGTCAATGTCATGAGAAAAGGCAAGGTCGCTGCCATGGTGAAAATGTCAAGCAGAACCATGGCCATTGTCAAGGAAAAGGTTCTGGAGAGAGCAGCTGAGAATGAATCCTCTGTGGGTGTCCAAGTAAGTGCTGCTCTCAGCCCAGGATGATGTCAGTGGAAACCATGAGACACAATACAATACAGTAGAGATGAAATGAAACTCTTTTCTGCTTATAAATAAACAGAGTTAGCAGTACCTGTTGGTGAAATGAAAACACCCAGACTTTCTCTGTGGAACACACATTACTGTTGTGAATATAGTTCAGAAATTGTTTAAAACATGACAGTTACTTTTTGACAAACATTATTATTGTTACTTTTTTTTCTCAAATGGCATTAACATTGTGTAAGAGATACTTATAAGTGCAGTTTTGCTGTAGCCTCCAACTAGTTGCTGAGGACTGTTGCAACTGACTTGGTTCACAAAATTCCTATCTTGGTGTTAAAGCCAAGACAGAAACACTTTAATGAAGAAATGTGCTGCAGACTATAGATCAGTCAGTATCACAGTTGCTAACTATGTTTTCCAGTTGACTTCAACACTTTATCTTCCTAGAGAGATGAAAATTATGTGCCATCCCTACAACTCAGATCTCTGTAGCATCCTATGGCATTCTGTAGTGATACTGCATCACTTTTAGGAAAGCCTTGCCTCATGCTGGAGTACAGGAAAGTGAAGCCTATACGCCCAGGTGCATCAGAGTTACTCCAATTGTTCTAAAATTGAAAATGGGAGGCTGGGGGAAACATTTTGTAAGGAGACCACATATCCCTCTTTCTGTACCAAGCCCATTTACACTGCAAACAATCTATGCCATAGGCTGCAACCGTCTCTTGCAGATGAAAGGATGTCAATCAAAATTCATTCACCTGCAAAAGGGACGACAAAAGAGCCCAGCCAAGGCCAAGTGGTTGCATGGATGGATCTAAGATTTTGAGAAGGAGGGTGCAGATAGTATGAAGTATCATCACAGATAACACAACAGAGATTTTTCTCCAGTTAAGAAGATAGTAGAAGCATTACTAATATATAAGGAACCTAGGGCTATATTATTCAGGTGAATATCAAAGCAAAACCAAATATAACTGTAATTTGCCCTCTGACACATTATGTATAAAGTACACAACAACCTAAGCAACTCCCCCCTCCCCATCAAAAGGTGGTGTTTCATTAGTCCCTTAGTCAGGAGATTTAAATGTACGTGTCCTTTTCCTCTTCATAAAATACAACTGGCCCTTCTTGAGCACCCCGGCGGCACCTTCAGCACTTCACTAGAAGTTATTTCCTCACCTGAGCCGGTGTTCCCCTGGGCTAAGCTTTAGGCAGCTGAGTTAAGGTTCGTAGCTAGAGTTAAGACACAGCCGGCCGGGTGTTGAAGGAGGAGCTGGTAACTGGGGCAGCTGCAGACAGCAAGGTTGCAGAACAAGAGGGGCTAGATCAGTGGGACATCAGGACCCTTGGAAAGGAGAGAAGGGCCTTAACACCTGAGGAAGGAAGAGTGTGGAAGGGATGCGCTGGCCTCCCTCCCTGCTGCCCGCCCAGAAATGCCCGCGCCGCCCTCCGTCCGGCTCAACCCCGCGCCCCTCCCCTCACAGCCCCTGGGCGCCCCCGCCCGGGGCCGGCGCAGGCGCTTTGGCAGCGGAGGG